CAGGATTGTTGAGACAGAGAAACTGTCTCAAAAAAAAAAAAAAAAAAAAAAAAAAAAAAAAAAAAAGAAAGAAAAAAGAAAAAAGAAAAGAAAGAAAGAAAAGAAAAGAAAACATAACAGAAGTTAAAATGAGATGTTCTCTGTACAGATCTTTCTAGAATTTTATCTTTTAGGAATCCAACATAATTCAGTAACTTTTTTGCAAATTTGTTTTTATTTTGTTTTGTTTGAGACAGGGTTTCTCTGTGGCTTTGGAAGCTGTCCTGGAACTAGCTCTTGTAGACCAGGCTAGTCACAAACTCACAGAGATCCACCTGCCTCTGCATCCCCAGTGCTGGGATTAAAGCGTGTGCCACCAATGCCTGGCTTCTTCTGGTTAGTTTTTGAGACAGGACCTCACTAGCCCCGATGACCTTGCTATGTAGCTAAGTATGGCTTAGAACTTGATCCTCCTGTTTCCTCTTTCTGGATCCTGATATACAGGTCTAGGCACCATGCTTGGCTTACATTTACATGAGTAGGTAAGATGGCTTATCGGGGAAAGTTGCTTTCTGCCATGCTTGACCTGAGAGTTCAATCCCGAGGATCAACATGGCAGAAGGAGAGAATCACCACCTGCAAGCTGACCTCTGACCTCTACACCTCTATCTGTGGGCATCCATGGAAACCTGTGAATGTAATAGTAAATAAATAAATTTGTATGATTCCCCCCTGTTAATCTTTTTCTATGTCATGGTATTCTCTTAAGCTCAGCAGGAACCTGAAGAGAATGAGTTTTTCAGGTCCCTACACTGTCTTAGCTGCAGTGTTCCTGTCTGTGTATGTGTTTTTAATGTACTTTATTACATTTGAATGATTCAAAAAGACAAGGAATGAAAAGTTAATATCCTTTCTTTATTACTTTTCTATTGCCATGACCAGACACCAGGACCAAGGCAACTTATTCGAGAGAACATTTACCGGGGCTCGTGGATCCAGAGTCATCATGGCGGGAAGCTTGGCAGCAGGCAGGCAGGCATTAGGAAGAGCAGCTAAGAGTTTACATCCTAGTCTGAAAGTTGGAGGTGCAGGGGTGCGGTGAGGTGGGGAGTTGGGGCGTGGGGGTGTTGGAGGGCTAACTGGAAATGGCCTGGGTTTTGAAATTCCTCAGTTCTACCAACTGGGGATCACTTATTCGAGCATATGAGCTATGGGGCATTCATACTCAAACCACCTCCTTTCACCCCTGCCTCTCTACCGTCTCTGTATCCAAGTGGAGCATTCCAGAGACGTCTGGCATCTTCACGTGGCACTGCGCAGCACTGAAACTATGTGAATGAATAAAACATGCCCCCTTCTTCAAGAGCTGCCACAATGTGACATTCAGATATTCTGCAATCATAATTCAGTCAAGATGAGAGGTGTGTGAAACACAGCAATGTCCAAGAGCATAGGACGCTCTTTCTTACTCTGTGAAACTGGGCTGTTAAAGTCATTGTCTGCTGTAGCACCCACACTACGATCTGCTCTATGAATTGGGCGAAGGCCTAGAGATTGAAATAAAGAGACAAGACAGCGGGTTATTCATTCAACGGCAATGCCGAATGCCGAACACTGAATGCCACTTATTGAGGGGATGGAACAGGCTTAAATACTGACTTACAGCACAGTGGAAAATAACAGAAATTTTAGGCTTAGCTCCTCCCCGGGAGGTGTGTGTTTTCACAAGGTGTGTGTTATCAAAACAGGAAGAGTACCAGTAACAACTTTGGGGCAAGGCTTCTGGCCAACAGCTTCAGGCTTGCTCAAGGTGCCTCTGGGGTTCATGCAGGACCCTACAGTCTCCCAAATGACCTAGTCCTAGTCAAATAGGTGTCATTTCAGATAAGGAACCTGTACAGAGGGATGCAGGGCTTTGCTCTGGGTTATCTAGACATCACAGACTTAGTATCCTCAGACTCAATCAACTGAGAATCATACTAAAAAAAAAAAAAAAAGACTGGGGGCTGGAGAGATCACTAATTGCTTAAGAGCACTGGCTGTTCTTCCAGAGGACCGAGTTCAATTCCCTGTGCCCGTATGACAGCTCACAATTGTCTGTAACTCCAGTTCCAGGGGAATCTGACACCTTCACACCAATGCACATAAAATAAATTTAAATAAATTATTTTTAAAAAATTGGGCTGTTGAGATGGCTCAACAGCTGAAGGTGCCTGACACTGAGTCTGAGGGCCTGAGACAGAAGGAAACTCCTGACTCCTGTAGTCCTCTGAAGTTCCACCTATAGTTCGTGCACACCTTTGTGCACACGCATGCATACAAAATACATGTATACACACATATATGTTATAAACATATATAAATGTATATATATATGCATACATACATGCATGCATATACATATATTTGGTTTTTTGAGATAGGGTTTCTCTGTGTAACAGCTCTAGCTGTCCTAGAATTAGCTTTGTAGTCCAGGCTGGCATTGATCTCACAGAGATCCAGTTGCCTCTGCCTCCTAAGTGCTGGGATTAAAGGTGTGCACCACCCCTGCCCACCTATAAAAATATTCTTTAAAAAAGAAGACACAAAGTTGAGTGTGTGTGAGAGGGATCTGGAAAGAACTCTAAATTAAAAAAAAAAAACAAACAAACTTATAAAAACTGTGTCTGTATAGAGCGCATGCAGACTCCTGTTATTATCCAACAAACAACACAAGCCTAAAGCTTTTGTGGCAATAATGCTGGATAAATTGTGTTGTAAGAAACCTGGAGATGAGCCAGGCAGCGGTGGAGCACACCTTTAATCCCAGCACTCCGGAGGCAGAGGCAGATTGGAGATGCCTTTTGTCACGTATCTCAGTACATTTAGCTAGGAGATGTAAGAGATTAGAAGATAAAAGTATACTAACAGATGAAATAACCTGTGCATGGTGATAACAGTTCCATGAATTCAGACTATAATTATGTATCCTTTTTTTTTTCTTTTTCTTTTCTTTCTTTTTTTTTTGAGACGGGGTTTCTCTGTTACTTTGGAGGTTGTCCTGGAACTAGCTCTTGTAGACCAGGTTGGTCTCACACTCACAGAGACCCACCTGCCTCTGCCTCCCGAGTGCTGGGAGTAAAGGCATGCACCACCACCGTCTGGCGTAAAGTATGGTTCTTAACCCAGAAAAATGATGTAGTTACCATAGTGCGGAATTGGACCAAACAAACTTTTATTAATTTTAAGATGTATCTATTTTATGTGTATGAGTATTTCCTGTGCATGTGTGTATATGTACTGCATTGCTGCCTACAATGGTTGTGACTCACCTGGTGTGTGCTGGAAATGAACCTGGGTCCTCTACCAGAATACTGAGTCCTTTGATGAGTTCAGTGACAAATGTTTGTAATTCTACTACTCAGCACATGGGAGGTAGATGGGTGATGAGTTCAAGACCAGGTTCTGCTACATTGTGAAAACCTATCTCAAGGAGGAAAAAAAAAAAATAAATAAAACAATAAGCAAAGAAAACCTTAGTGTAGTGGTGTCAATTTGAAGAAATCTCAGCATTTAGAATTATAGGCAAGTACCATTATGCCTGGCCAATTGTAGCTTCTTTCTATTTTGAATTATTTTCATATTCTTCCTTTCTCATTCTAACAGTAGATACTTTGTCCAGAGTTGAAAAGTGAGACCCTTAGATGTTGTGTCATGGAGATCATCTGTATTTGTAATCCTAGTACTTGGGAGACAAGGCTGGATGATTGCAGTGTGTTCCAGGCCAGCCTTGTCTACATAGTGAGCTCCAGCAAACTCAGAAGTCAGAAGTCAGGTTCTTGCTTAGTCTGGACACTCAAGATCTTAGACATGCTGTGCTTTGTTTTTTCAGGCAGTGAATGTTACTCAGACAAGGATTTGAAGGTTAAACAAAAAAAACCAAAATGATGGTCGAATATTGCCTTTAAAACACCATGACTATACTCATTTTTATAAAGAAAACATTTAACTGGGGTGGCTTGCAGTTCAGAGGTTCAGTCTGTTACCATCATGGTGGGAAGCAAGATAACATTCAGGCAGATGTGGTGCTGGAGAAGGAGCTGAGGTTTCTTACATTTTGACCTAAAGACAACAGTAAGTGGTCTGGGCAGTGTCTTGAGCATAAATAAGACCTCAAAGCCCGCCTCCACAGTGACACTTTTCCTCCAACAAGATCATACCTACTCCAACTAAGCAACACCTCCTAATAGTGTGGTTCCCTTTGGGGACCATTTTCTTTGAAATGACCACACATACATCATAGCTTGGTTGCAGTTTAGATCATTTGGAGGTACAAGTCCAAGATAAGACATTTCATTTTGGTAAGTTTTGTTCAATATGTCAGTGTAACTGTGAAATACAGAAACAGTCAAGTTTTCCAGGAAGATTTTGGGTGGTCCCAGATTCAAAGGACTCACTAACACTTCCATCACCTAGTTTTTCTGTCTTTAGATTTATTCATAATTCATAATATTTTATGAGTAATTTGCTGGCTTGTATGTACTATGTGCACCACATGGGTGACTGGACAGAAGGGGGTTGTGAGCTGCTCTGTGTTTGTGTGTGTGTGTGTGTGTGTGTGTGTGTGTTTTCTGAAAGGGCAAAAAGTGCTCTTAATGCTGGGCCATCTTCCCATTCTGTACCATTGAGGTGTTCCATGCGCACAGGTGGGTGAGATTCAGACCAAGATGGTATTTAGGAAATGTGCTTATCTTTGGCAGACTGCATAGCTTGCTCCTTATAGTTCATGAAAAAAGAAATTACAGAGAAGTTAAAATTATTTGTATAGCAAACAGTCACACGCCCGCCATCGAGATCCTGCGGTTAACACCTAGTCATGCTTGTCTGATCCGCGCCTCCCCCATCCCTCACTGCTGGATAGAGAAAAGGACCCGCCAGCTAGGTAGCGGCTGTTCCCACGTTCCTGTAGGAGGCCGACAGCGGCGCGGGGCGGGGGCAGCGGGCGCGCAGGGCGGGGCGGGCTCTGCGTGCGCTGGACGCGGGGCTGCGCTCCTGGGCGCTCGCCGCCGCGGCGCCTTGAGTCAGCAAACTCCGTGGTGTTCCCGGCCCCGCGCCGCCGCCCAGGACCGCGCGTGAGTAAGCCGAGCCTCGGGGAGGGAGCTGGGTGGCGGCCGCCGCGGCCGCCCCAGCACCTGCTCAGCCGGGGACGCGGGAGATGCTGGCCGGCGGCCCTTGAAAGCAAGGCCAGACACCTTTGAGTTTAGGGGCTGGGAGGGGCAAGGAAGGTGGTTTTTTTTTTTTTTTTTTTTCCCTCTCCTTTCTTCATGGGATTGTGGGATTGATGAAAAAGGCCGCGGAGGAACCCACGTTGATGATCGTGTTTAATGACACAGGGAAGCAACAGCCTGCTTATTGGTTCCGGACACATCACACTTTACTAAAATTACAAGGATTGTTAAGGGGGATGATGGTCACGGGATGTCTGTTTCCTCAAGGCACAAGCTCGTAGAGGGCGATGGATTAGAAATTGAGAGCAAAGGGGGGTTTGGCGTAGTCTCCATCAACCCTGAAACCAAGGTCCGTGGGGGGGGGCAGAAGGCGCCCTGGGGAGGGGCGTATGAAAATCCCTCTTATGGGAGTGGACTTGTGGGAGTGGCCCAAGGGGGTTGGGGGCCTTAGGAGACTCCTCCAGCCCCTGGCCCATCTTTGAGGGGCTTTTCAGGAGGTGGAGGGTAAGTGTCCTGGCAATATCTCATGTGAGGTTGAGGAGTGTGCGTGACTTTGCATGCTTCCTGTCCCTAAGGCTAAGACACAACAGGACAGTCATCTCGGTCTCACCCAACCTCTAGGTGTCTTCCTCGCTTGCTTCTGGTCCTAGGGATGAATGGAGCCCATGGTTTTGAGCAAATTAACAAGCACCTGACCACTGAGCTGCATCCCAGCTCCCGTTTATTTATTTGTAAAGGGCTAGTAGAGTTGAGATTGACTGACAGACTGTTTTGAATAATGTTATAAATGTAGATATATTTAGAACTGACTATGTGAAGATGTGAAAGACCTCATTAGCAGCTACTTCTAGTTAACTGACCATCCGGGTTTCTTCTGTCAGCGCAGTCTTAGGCCTTCTTAGTTACAGAAACCCGACTGGCTGGCACTGCCCTCAGGGAGGTGTGCCTAAGACGGTGATAGGGTGAGGCTGCTATCTTTTGGCCATGATGTTCCTCTCATTCTCCTCTGCTCTGGACGGTGTTACCCACTTCCTTTTATGTCGCGAATGGAAGAGCTTCAGAGATTGGTGTCTTGGAAGTAGGAATAGGCAGCATCGTTCCTTCCTACGTTTTAAAGAGTTCCACTGCAACAGTTCCCCTGCTATAGAGCACCCTTGACCTTCTTCTTCAGCCCTGCTTGGCATCCTTTAAGTGCCATTAAGCCATTGGGCGAACTTCGGTTTCTTTTTCCTCTTTTAGTTCAGGGCTGTGAGGTAATAACCACTTGTGAAAGGCAGAGAACTAACTGCCGGAGAACAGGGTCCAGCCTACAAAGACTTTCATTTTGGAGAACAGCAGAGAAGGATGTTGGCTAAGATGATGGTGTACTCCTGGAAAGTCCCCCAGATTTTAGGGCTCTTATCACCAAAGGCCTTTTTCTTAGTTATGTAATAGGTATCAGTTAACAATTAGGCTCTCTAGACCTTGTCCCAGCTACAGGCTATATAGGACAGTGCATTGGCCACAGCTTCTGGTTTCAGACCCTTCTGAGTTGAAATCTTGGTACACTTGTTTGCTAGTCAAGTTATTGTTGGCAGAGTCAGGCATGGTGGCGCATATCTGTAACCCCAACACTTGGGAGGCAGAATCAAGAGGGTCAGGAGCTTGAGGCCATCCTTAACCTTATGAGCCCTTGTCTCAAAAATAACAAAACAGCTGTCCTGGAACTCAATATATACGCCAGGATGACTTTGAACTCAGAGATCTGCTTGCCTCAGCCTTCCAAGTACTGAGATTAAAGGTGTCACCTTGATTGGCCCTGTGCTTATTTTTTAGGCAGTGTCTCATGTAGCCCAGGCTGGTCTCTGACCTGCAGTGTGGCCTTGATCTGGAGATCTTCCATAGTGCTCCGATCACAAGGATGGCCTTGGCCGCTGGAGGGCTGGGGTTATAGGTGTGAGCCACCTCATCTGGCACTATTACCAGTTAATTAATTTGTTTTGAGAAAGGGTCTCCTGTGGCTCAGGGCTGGCTTTAAACACAGTATGCAGCCGAGACTTTGAACCCTTGATCCTGATGCACCTACTTTCCAAGTACTGGGATCACAGGTGTGCATCCCGAATCTTTTCCCATTTTGTATTTTTTAAAATTACAACTTTATTTGTGTGTGTGTGTGTGTGTGTGTGTGCGTGCGTGTGTGAGTGTGTGTGTGTGTGTGTGTGTGCGTGCGCATGTGTGTGTGAGTGTGTCTGTGTGTGCGTGCGTGTGTGTGTGTGTGTGTGTGTGTGTGTGTACATTCATGTGTAGGGACTCCTTCACCGTGGAGCCAGTTCACTGGCCTCCCTAAATTCTTTCTTTCTTTTTTTTTATTTGATGTAACTGAGACTGGCTTTGAACTCCTGATCCTCCTGTTTCCACCTCCCAAGTTTGTGCCTCCATGCCCAATTCCTGAATCCCTTAGGGAGATATGGAAGGTAATTTTATTTTTCAAGACATGGTTTCTCTGTGTAGTCCTGGCTGTCTTGGAACTAACTCGCTCTGTAGACCAGGCTGGCCTTGAACTCACAGAGACCCATCTGCCTCTGCCTCCCAAGTGCTGGGAATGAAAGGTAATTTCTGTTTTGTTTTGTTGATAATTATATGAGGTGAGTTTTGTTTTGATAACATTGTTGAATGCCGAGTTAACGATTTATCAATAACCAAAACACACGCATGTAAACGAATTCAGTTTCTTCACATTTCTGTCCCCACTACCAGCTCTTCGAGGGGCAGGCTCTTCTCAGGGCCTGCTTTTGGCGTCAAGTGGAATATTCGTACTAGATTTGATTGCTATCAACATTAATATTGAGTCAGTTTGCTGTATTATTGCTGTTGCTTGTCTCCCAAGGGACAAAGGCTTTGTCCCCAGTGTGAACTCATGACCGTTTGTAAAACTTATAAGAGGTGGTGCCCAGTGGGAGTCCTTAGGTTACTGAGGGCTTTGCCTTTAAAAGGGATTAAAGAAAGTTCTCCCAGGACCCTGAATTAAATCTCCTGTGAGAAGGTTGTTATAAAAGCTGGAGGCTGACCTCTGCGTTGCTTTTTGGTGTTCTGTCTGCCGTGTGATGTCTTTCTTTTGTGTATGCTCTATGCACTTGGAGGCCATCAGCAGAGCACAGCCCATGCTCGCACCATGCGCCCTGCAGAGCTGCACACCAAATCTCTTTAAATGGTGGAGGTACCCAATCATAACTGTTAAGTTACAAATGAAAGCGAATCAATTTACAATGGAAAGAGAGGATGTCTGGCTGGGCAGTGGTAGTGTACGCCTTTAATCCCAGCCCTAGGACATAAGAGGGAGGCGGATCTTTGTGAGTTGGAGGCCCACCTGGTCTACAGAACAAGTTCCAGGACAGGCTCCGAAGCCACAGAGAAACCCTGTCTGGAAAAACAAACAGCCCCCACTCCCCCTAAGAAGGAAGGACAGCTGGAGCCCTTTTTGACTATGGGATGGGAAGAGAGAAAAAGTGATGAGAGGAGTCAAGGGGTGCCCAGTGGGGACACAGGCAGACTCTTTAAGTTGGTACTAGCAATGAGAGCTTATGTAAGGTCACCCCAGGCTACGGGAAACAGCGGCTTGGAGCCTGACATTCAGGCACAGGTCCCTGTCTCCCATGGGCACAAGGCTCCTGGATCCCCTTCTCAGAGCCTCTCCTTGGGACTTCTCTACTTGCATGTGCCTCCCATGGCAGGCCTGGCACACATCACACTTGGATTTTTCACTTACTGCTTTCCTGCAGTCATCTTTCTCGTTTCCCCTCAGCCATCCTCTCCGTCTCTGGCCACCGGTGCTTTGTTCTGGCCTGACCCTCACCTTCCCTCAGACCCTTCCAATGCATCTTCTTGTTGCCATTGACTCTCTCCATCTGTGGTTTTCAAACATTAAAAAAATAAAAATTAAAAAAAAAAACATTTATTTATTTGCGCGTTTATGTTAAGTGTGTGTGCATTGTGCATGTGTGCCATGGCATGCAAGTGTGGAGGTCAGAGGGCAGCTTGTTGAGGTTGGTTCCCTTTCACTATGTGGGCCCCAGAGATTGAATTCAGGTCTTTGGGCTTGGTGGCAAGTGCTCTTATCTGCTATGCTATCTTGTTGGCCCCTTGGACATTTTATCCGTAAGAATTGTGTGGGGGAAGAAGCAGATTTCTGGGCCTCAGGGCTCCGTAGGCTTGTTTCTCCTTCTCCAAGGTTGGTACAGAGACTGTACAAGTGGAATTTGTTCTTCTCCATGGCTTCACAAATTATCGGTAAGCCAGAGACGTCCCTTCTGTGCTGGGGATGGAACGGAGGGCCTCCCGGAGCCTGCTGGGCATATGATGTGGCTCTGCGCTGCATCTCCAGTTCTGAGTGTTTCCGTCACAGACTTAGCCCCTGCCTCACTGGTGGAGAAACCTAACCCTGCTCTAGGGTTGTCACTCAGCTGACAGGTTAAAGGAGAGGCCACCAGTGTGTCTCCCTGCCTGAGTTCCCCTGTGCCCCAGACCCTTTATTCTGTTGCTGTGGGCAGTTGCTCTCTGTTTTTAGCTTTACTTACTCTTGTGTGTATGTGAAGGCATGTGGGGTCTGAATGAGAACGGCCCCTTTACACTCATACGTTTGAATACTTGATCACCAGTTGGTGGAACTGTTTGGGAAGGACTAGGAGGAGTGGCTTCGTAGGAGGAGGTGGGCTTGGAGGTTTCTAAAGACTCCTATGATTCCCAGCGCCCTTTCTTTCTGCCTGGTGGTTGTGAGCTCTCCGATACTCCTTTGCGCTGGCATCATGGACTCTGAAACCATAAGCCAGATTAAGTGCTTATTTGTTGTTGTTGTTGTTGTTGTTTTAAAGATTTACTTATTTTTGTTTTCTATGTGTATTGCTGTCTTGCCTGCATGTATGTCAGCTCACC